GGGAAGGCACCACCCGCTACCTTCTTTTTGTTTGTTGAAGTTTCTCTCTTCATCTTCCCCACGGACTTCAATTCTCATTTAAGATTCTTCCTGAGTTCAGGGGCACCACTTTCCACCTTCTTCTCTTCCTCACATGGCTATATTCTAGTGTCTACACAGAAAAATCTCAGAGAGGCTCTTTCTCTGCTGCTCACCACTCCACCACCATCTTCCTAGAAGTCCTCACAACAGCAGCAGTTTTGTTACTGGCCTGGATCTGAGTGGTTCTTCAAGCTGAAATAAAGAACTTAATCCATTGTTTTGTAGCAGATTTGCTGACTCCTGTTGTGGAAGAAGAATTTTCAGGTTGTATCAGTAAGAGGCATGGGAAGCACTCACTAGACAGATTTAGGATGCACTCAAGAATGGAATACAGGTGTTACAGGCAATTGAGTCAGATAGAAATATTGTAGGCAGTCAGACAGGGCAAGGCCCTCAAAGGAGCCAGTGTAGAAGACCAGATACCTTGCAACTGTGGGGGAGACGGACACCTCTGCTGAGGGTCAGGTCTCAAGACAAAAGATAAATGTGCCCACATCCTAAGGATAAACATCAAGGACTGATACTCTAAATGGGGCTCTATCACCCTGAGAAAGGCAGAGGTCACTATCCCAACTCCCTACAGAAAGAATCTCTGCTCTTTACGCATGTCCTTGTCTGCTTGCTACATGACTGACTTTCCCCCCTTTGTCTCTGATTTAATCAATTTTTACCTGAGCAATTAATCTTATTGGTTAGCCATAGTTCTGTTCCACATCAGGCCCACCTTATGAGTTCCCATGTTTTCTCCAATTTAGACCTGCCTCACTTTGTGATTTTGCTCTATAAGAGTCCCTAGAAAAGACAGTCTTCAGCAACCCACTGGGGACTCCTTCTGTGTCTCTCTGACAGAAGCTTCCTTTCTCTCAATAAACATTTTCTGGTCTTAACTTCCATTGTTCCTAAAATTCATTCTTCAATTTTAGAGAACACAAACTCCCACCAGACATCTAGTAGGTTGGGAGTTTTGTTCCCCTGTATCATAGGTGATCAGAGAAATGAGTGCACTACAGGTGGCATCGGGGCACACTTATGCTTCTGGTGTAGGTGGTAAAAGATGTCCCACTCCACAGAACTGTACTAGTCACTTGTATAGGTATGGCATGGGGATGTAGGTAATTTAAACACTCTTTGGGTTTGCTCAACCTGCTCCTTTATCTTAGCATCAGGCCTCTTCTCCTTACTTTCTCAATTAAGGTAAGTTATGGACTTTCAGTCTTGCTTAGGAAATTGGGGTGCGAAAGGTCTGGTAAGGAAGGAACTTAAATGTAACCAAAGGAACGCTGACATGGCTTGCCCTGGGAAACTTTGGTTGTGTTCTACAAGTTGCAGTACAAATTTTTATTATGATTTCCTTGCCTCCTTCCTACCTTTTATTTCTTGCGTCGTATTTCAGTTTCCAGATTAGTTTGCTCCAAGACGTTCTCAGGACTGCTTTTGTAAACAAGAGTGGATTAGACAGACTTGTCAGCTTCTAGGTGGTTATTCTACTTGGCAGAAGTTGAGTTAGATAACTGATATCCCCTATGGTTTATTACATAGAGGAGTGGGAACAACTAAAAAGCTTCTTAGAAATTACCTAATAAAAGCCCATTTGAGGGCTCAGTCTATGAAAAGGAATTGATAATTTTGTGTCTGAGTAAACACTGTCCAGCCATGCTATACTTCTAACTTCCTGAAAAAGCTGGGTCCATGTTTCCATGGGCAACCCTGGACCGGTGAAGCCAGGAAGCACTGATATGGGATGAGTGTTATTCCCTTCAGTTCTTGAAGCTGCCTATCTTCTGAGCTGTGTTGTTTAATGCCTTTGACCAGCAAAGCTCCTTTTGTAGTCCTGAGCATCACTTACAGGCATCCTTATTATCCAGGGGAGTTTGCTTTTGTCGACACGAGAATTTGGTCTAAAAATAATTCACTGGGGTCAATATAACAAAAGCCCCAGAAAACCATTCAAAGATTTTAAAATAGCTTTCTGTTGCAGTGTAATCGGCTCCCTCCTGTGCTGTAATGCGGGTCCTTTTTTTGGGCCAAGGAAGATGGAAACTGATGAAACAGCAAGCAGCAAGCAGTGGGGAGCAGCCCAGTGTATGTTTAATAAAAAGAATGAAAGGGAAACTTCCCCACTTGTTGCACAAGGGTGACCCCACAGATATAGAAGTCCCCTGGCATTTGATAGCTTTTGGCAGGGTGACTGTGACCAAGCAGGGGAGCTCCAGGAGGCAGGGAGGCTTCTGATGTCTGGAAAGCAGGCTGCTTCCTTTCCATTTCACTTCCCTCCGTGTCTCCCAGTTGTACAGGGGCCTGTTGTTTGTCTTTTGCATTCCATTAGGCTCCTGATACTCAAGTTCGCTTAAATCAAATGATTTTGGCCCTCTGGTATGTCAGCTCAACCCTAGACTTCTAGTTAATCTCAGACCTGTGTCCTATCCGCATTATATCTTCTGACTTCTAGCCTTCTATCTTCTAGCCTGTGTAACTGCAATTTCCAGCTACTAATCCCAACTTTTGAGAGTTATTTTTCCTCTGCAAAAGGAAAAAGTAACTACTTTGGGACATTCATTTGTCTCTACTTGATGCTTTACATCTTATGGACAGTGTAGAGGTCCTGTTAAAAGTTAGATGGATATGTAGGTGAGACTTGAGTTACTCATAATTAAGTTAAAATATGAAAGACATTTGCTAAGTATAAATTCATCTTTGCTTCTTACAGTTTATGATAATGTATTTGAGTCTATGCATCTCTAGATATACTTGTAAAAACTGATGTAAGAACAAAACACATCTTATCCTTTAAGAAGTTTAAAAATAACTATTCCAGAGGAACAGTAAATATCTAAATATGGAATCTTTTGTCAAACTATAGATCAAATTAAAACTATAGATCAAATTAAAATGAGATTAAAGCTGGGTGTGGTGGTGCACACCTGAAGTCCTAGCATTCAGGAGGCTGAGGCAGGAGGATCATGGTAAATTTGAGGCCAGCCTGGGACACACAGTGAGTTCAAGGCCAGCCTGGACTATATCGTGAGACTCTATCTCAAACAAACCAACACCACAACCACAATGAAGAGCTTTAAGTAAGCCTCAAAGTGATTGAGGTTGTATCTGTTCATCATTTGAAGATATTCTAAACTTAATTTGTATTCACATGACTCATTTAATATTCTAGTAACTGTTGGTTTTAAGAAAAAAAAAATCTTGCTTGAATGTCTGGTCTATTAAGGGTTTGTTATGTGGCTTCACAGGGTCCATTAGTTCACCCACTAGTGCAATGGGTGAATTCCTGTACAGCAAGCATCTCAGTGAGAGTTTGGGAATAATTTCTAGCACTACTAGCCAGTTCATATCCATTGCTCCCTTATGCTCAATCAGTTGCTCAAACCCGTTTTCTTACCTTTTGGTGCCACTGAAATGTTTGATCACCCTTGGGGCTGAGAATTTTCACTGAAACTAATAGTTTTTTCTTACTGCTAAAACTTTGTTTCTACCTTGTGACCCAAGTCTTTGTTACCCTAATGTTCTTTGTGCCTTCTTTAGAAGGATGTCACTTCTTCCACAGCCCTTGGCTGGCCATCTGTTAGAGGGCTGAACATCACATCCATTGTCGGGATAGCTACTTTTTAAGCAGCTCTGTGTAAATGACTGGACTCCGTGATGGTTCGGATGTGAGGTGTCCCCCAAAGACTCGTCTATCAACAGCTTAGCCTCCAGTGCAGCAATGCTCAGAAGTGGTTCTTCAAGGAGTGACTGGATCACAAGGGATATGACTTCACCAGTGGATTCATCCACTGATGGATTCACAATTTGATGGCATTACTGGGAAGTGATGGAGAGTGAGGAGGTAAGGCCTAGTCGAAAGGAGTGGGTCATCAGGGTGTGACCTCAGGGCCCCTCCCCTCTGGCTCTTTCCATCTGTCTCTTTGCTTTCTGGCTGCCATGAAGTGAGCAGCTTCCTCCACTACATCCTTCCACCATGATGTCTCTGCCTTGCCAAAGGCCTAAAAGCAATAGAGCCTGCTGATCATGGACTAAAACTGAAACTAAGCCAAAATCAATGTTTCCTTCAAGTTGATTGATGCCCAAAGTTTTGTCACAATGATAGCTAACATGGAGTCCTTTCATAGTTCAGCCAGGTGCTTATGCCACTGAGCTTTATCCCTAGCCCTGAAGAAAGATTGTTCAAGAGCAATGTTAGAATGCATCTTTGCTGACATAGCCTGAATCCAGTCACTGGGTACCAACAATGAAGGAGAATCAAGCTCACTATTAACTTCAAAAAAAACCAAGCTGTTACTATCCAGATGAGCAAAAATGAGCCTAAGTAGCAGTACTTAGTGCTAACTACTGCCCGTCAGGATAGGAGGGCTTTCAGCTGGGGCGGGGAGGGCTTGTTCTGTAGCAGTGAGGGTGTTGGGTTTGGGTCTAGGACACTTGGATAAGTGAGTCTCTTGGTGGGTTCTGGGAAAATCACTAAATACAACAAAGCTTTCACTTCAATTATGAAATAAAGAAGTTTGCATTAGATGCCTTAGGGACAGCATCCCAGCTCCGACATTCTCTGCTTCGGCAGAGGGAAGTTAGGCTACTAGCATTATTGAATGTATCCAGCCCCGAAAAGTTTCAGAATGCTAATTCTTAACAAAGCGTAAATTGATACAAAGATAATCTTACATGGAAATAATATTCCTTTTTATTTCCTTCTTTTTTTTTTCTTTGAGACAAGGTCTTGCTATATACTGTATTTCTGGCTGGCCTTAAACTATGTAGCCCAGGCTGGTCTCGAACTTGCAGTGATCCTCCTTCCTTATCCTCCCCAGTGCTGGAATTATAGGTATTCACCACCGCTTCTTTATTGTGAAATGGGATTTTTTTCTTTACAGTGACCCATTCTCCATAAGAACAAGCTTAATGACTGCTACATGATCATTTAAATATATTTTATTAAGTACTGACTTAAAAATGCAAGAGAAGAATATAACACCTCGGAGCAAATGCTTGGAGGTAAAACAAGTATCACTATAAATATTGCACTTATAATAAAATCTCCTTTTTATATCTTCACACAACTCAATTCTAACATATCCTTTTACAGAGATGTACAAATACACTGTCCAAACTGTCAACACTCGATCCCTTGAGTCTCCTACCCCACACTAAGTCGGCAGGTTTTCAGCCGTCGGCTCCTCTCAGGGTAGGCCCAGTGAGATGGAGGTCTCACACCTCCATGGTGTGAAGACCAGCCCTCCAGAACACTCCAGGCAAAGTCATGTGGGGTATTTTCTATTTCGGGAAGACACATCTTTCAAAGACAACGACAGAATGCAGTTTAAATGGACACAGTTCCCTGTTAACACTGCTTGTTTTTTAAGGCATTCAAAAGCTTCTGATTCTTGGTCTTGAACATCATGACAAAACTATTTGGCATGATCTTGCCTTGCCCATCTTCACCCGCTTGGCCCATAATGATGTAATTTAGACCTAATGAAAGAAAATACAAAATAAATCTTTTTCTTTGAGTGTGTTCTCAGAAACAATTTACACTAAACTCACCTCTAATAAATTTTCTTGTCTGTAAATAATCTAATCACACACTTATTCTATCTAGCATAAAATCACCAGGATTGGCAGCCTCGAGCAGAAGGCTAGATTCATCTACTAACCTATTCTGGTTCTGCTAACACAGGAGCTTGTGTGGAGTGGTCAGTCCTGCCCACACATTTAATGGTTCCACTCTGCAAATGGCTCACAAATCTTTTAATTCTAGCTCAGGAATCACATTCTCATCTCAAATTTGGCTCTGCACTTCCTCTGCTTTCCTCTAAACACCGTATTGGCAAGTGAAGTACAGTGATCTAAAATCTCTCTTCCCTGAACTGCTTTCTTAGCGTCTGTTCCCTATTGATTGGACTTTACACCCTCTGGGACTCATTCATCATTTCTAGCCTTTTTTTTTTTTTTGGCACTCGGCATTGAACTCGAGGCCTTTATGCTGATCTATGTCCCAGCCCTTTTAAATTTTTATTTACTTTTAGACAGGGTCTTCCCAAATCACTAAATTGACAAGTTGGGCTCAAACTTTCGATGTTCTTGCCTCAGCCTTGCAGAGTGCTAGCTAGGGTGACAGGCATGCATTCCCACACCAGGCTTCAACCACCTCTTTTTGTACAAGGTAGAAGCGCTACAATACAGCATAACTCTGCCCAGCACAAAGGCTCTCTTCTCTATCATGTATAGGGAATATCTTAGCCCTGATTTTAATTCCGTCCACCAGCCACAGCAGCCTGGAAAGACTCATGACTTCCTCAGAGCCTCTCTCCTTCCCCTCCCTGCCTCTGCACGCCCCCAGAAGAGAGCTTTCCTACTTACTCACCTCTTCTGAGGAGAGGGCACTGCCTGCAGACCACAGTAACCTTGGCACTCATGTTCTTGCCAGCCTGCTGAATTGCCAGGTTTCCCTCCTTATAGATGTTGATGATGGAGATTGTGGCCTGCAAGCTCTCACCCCGAGGGGTGGTGGTGATAACAGCTCCGACCAACACTGCAGAGGAAAACGCGAGGGTACGTGACAATGAAGTGAAGTTGAGCAAAACTGGAAAGAATTTTACCTTCCAGTTTTCAGAAATGAAACTGCACCCTTGAATTTGGTTCTGCGTATTTATCCCCAAAATTCAGGTTGAAGAAAAGGCTCAAGGAGCTGCACTGTTCCTCTGGTGGCTGTTGGTAACTTGGAGAGAAACCTAAATACTTGCCTCACTGCAGTCTGTTGCTGAAAGGACTCGGTTACAGTGTCCTTTCCAATGCATGGATCCAATCAAGAATGAGCTTAGGAGAGGCAACACCATGCTAGAAGTTCAATCACAAGGATATTTGTGTCTGTGTGGCTGAGCGTCCATCCCATGTCCTGCCCCCAGCAGCACACCAGCTGTCCTCTCTTCCTTAGCTTTTGTTCACCCAGGGGGAGGGTGCACATCTCTAATAATCAGAAATTATCTCTGTCCAGGTTTTCTTATAGTCTTTTTTTATATACCCTGTTTTTTTCATTTTAAAGTATACTTGAAATAAACCTCCAAACATTCGTGAGTTTAAAAAACTAACAAAATTCAGTTGATTTCCCTTGTGTAACTTTTTTTTCTTTCCCAATGACAAAGAAAACCATTTTCTGAGCCACACAGGGAAAAATGCCGTCTTTCCTGAAGGGCCCTGGAATGCTGGTGGCATTTTAGGAGGTGGAGGGACATAATTCCTAGTGGTGTAGGGGTTGTACAGAACGACTTTTTTTTTAAACAGCTGTCAAGAAAACAATCAGCATAATCCCTGTTACTGAGGCCACCAAAAAACTGCCCCTGGGAGTTTTACCAACTCTGGTTGGATGCCTCTGGCCACTGATGACAGCATCTGGCCGAGGAAATGAACCACAATTAATGGGAAAGACCAAGTTTTGGATTCATCTAAGATGATCCCTTCCAGACAAAGTGCACGCTCACAGCTTATTAGTGTGCCAAGATCCCAATGTCTCAATTCTTATTGTGTCTTACTCTGATTTGTGGTGATGAGTGTTCACCCAAAATGTCAGTCCCTGGCCAGGTGTCAGTCCACAGCCAGGTGAGATCAGGAGGCTCCCAGAGGCACAGGTGGACAATTTCCTGAACCACCTGCTACAGCAAGTTAACCTGGATGTGGCGGCCACGACACCTGGCACTATGTGTTTTCATTTTCATGCCAGTTATTTGAATTTCAGCATGTAAGCCCCAGTAAAATGGAGGGCGTCAGACGCTTCAGTGTCTTCATCTTTGCAGTTTCACAATGAGATCCCTACTAGGCTGCCAACAGTTCCCACTTTAAGGCACCCAAAGGCAAGGAAAACCTCTCTGGGGAGGCCCTTTGTTGTGGGCAAGTTGCTATAGCAACGATCCTTCTCTGAGAAGACTTCTACTTAAATGTTAATTTTAAACTACTCTAAAAAATAACCAACACAACCAAATTTAGTATCTTTTGCACTTAAGCAGTTTTCACAAAGTGCAATTTTTTAATTTCATAAAGAACAATCTCCCCAGGTTCCAATTTCTAAGTTTCCAAAAGTGGACATCAGACTTCCAGGTTTTAATTAAATACTCTGGAAAAACACCACAGAGGAAATATGTGACTTTCTTGATAGAGGCCAGTTTCTGAATGTAAACTTGGCTATGTTTCTAATGCACTTTAGTTCAATTACAGATATGTAAAAAAAACACCCAGAACATGAAAAATATGTGCGGAACAAAGGAAGCAGGATATTTTCAGGAACAGTTAACAGACTACAGAGTAGTAGTATCGCGAATCAACAATCAAATTATTAATGTTATGTAAAAAAGGGCAGATTTTCTGAATACTTATTTTTCTCACCTATGAAATCTGATACTTTGAATAGCACAATGTAAACTTGTGTCTGTTTTTGGGGGTAAATGTACAGGGTTCCTGACCCTTCACCATTAAATTTGTGGCAATTCCTATGAGACCAAGCAGGCGGTCTCGAGTTTCTGATTAAAGAGAAAGCCTGGTTTCATTTCTTACCAAAGTTGTTTGAACAATAATTGCTCTCCAGAGTCCCCGTCCGTCTACACTTTTGTTGACACAGGGCCACCGTCGGTTTTAAACCTTAATTCAAAGACAGAAGAGTCAGGAAAATGAGTTCAAGTATAATTGGTGCTTCCATCTGAATTTATCCATTTAAAATTACCATTTATTTCCCTAAGCCACAAATTAGTCCCTGTGATGAAATAATTATAACTACACAGAAGAAACTCTTCATGCTACCTACTCCTGCTCTAATTTCCTCACAGCAACACAATCCTCTACTGAATTTTAAACCTGAGATCAAAGATAATCCAAATTTAGCTGTTACCTGTTTTTTTCTATAAAACTAACACTGACCAAAAATAGATAGCTCACTTTGTGTGCTCTGTTTAGAAAACCCAGTACAATGATCTGAACTATAAAATACATGTTAATTCTTCACTCTTCAGAGGAATCCTGTGGTGCTCCTGAGGCTGCAAGGAGCTTGCCTGGTGCATTCTCACCTACGAAGTGCTATATCTGTAATCAGACACAAGCACTCACTAAATATTTACTTTGAGCCTGGCACTGGCTATAAGGATTTTAAGAACTGAGACACAGATAAACTCAGACACAAAAGGAAACAACACAAGGGCTCTCAAGGAGAAGCCATTTTGCCCTCTCGGTGACATATGGCAATGTCTATAAACATTCTGGCTGTCCTAAGTACAGGGGTGCTAATGACATCTAGTGAACAGATACTCGGGGTACGCTGAGCAGGATGACATATAAAAATCTGGCCCACAATATAAAGAGTGCTGAGGCTGAGAAACACTGGGTTAACATAATGAAAACATGTAATCCCATTGTCACCTTAGGAATGTTTGTAAAATACTTGCTAATTATTGGCTGTGTGTGGTCATAGCTAAGAGGACTAACACAAAACCACTGACTATCCACTTGGCTAAACGTCTGCAAATGCAACACTGCTCATCTAGTACTTCTGCGGAGTCCCCCATGAACTTACTGTTTGCTTGTTTCTAATATGGATCCTGACCGAGAGCATCACCCATGAAAGACAGCACCCTTCCCGTGGAGGATGGGGGCCAGCGGGCGACCCATGCTGCTGCTTCCACCCTCTGCGGTGGGTCTGTCCCCTGGCCTGGCAGTCAGCGCCATGGCACCTCGGGCACCTCGGCTCCCTGCCACCTGCCTTCACACCCTGGGCCCTGGTTCCTTAGGCTCCTCCCCGTGTGTCCCGTGATGTCTCAGTGGGGCTGCCCTCCTCACGGATGACGCCTCAGCCCTGTGGCTTCCTCCTTGACCAGCCTTTTCCCTCTGCTCCAGCTCAGACACCCACACCCAGGCTCATCCTCCTGTGACGGTCATTCTCTGCCAGTCTCTCAAATTCAGACATCCTGGTATCCACGGCGGCCTCCTTCCCCTTGAGCTTATTTATTTAATAACAGCACGACTGCTTTCTCCCTCTACCTTTGGAGGTTCAGTACACTGATCCTTCTCGTTTTCCCCAATCCATTAACCCTGGCTGGCCTTTATTTGCTTAGCGATTCCGTTTGGTTTCCACATTCCATTATTTCAACCATTTTCTTAGCAGTCAGTATCTTAGATGCCTATTCCCCTGTGACCTGCAGCCCCTTTTGAATCCTGCAGAACTAGCGATTTCTGTGCCTGCCTCTGACAGCTGAGCAAAGCAGTGCCTGACTCCCAGTTCCACAACTGTTTTTCAGATTTGTTCTCCTCACCCAGCCTCCAGTACTGCTGCTTCCCTTCCCATTCTCAGCGGGTGAACTTGTCTCTCTTCTACGGAGAACAGAAGCCACAAGATCCCTACTGAATCTCCAGGTCTTTAGTCTTCCTCTCACAGAGGGGTGGCGCCTGGGATCCGTCATCCCTTTGCAAGTCCTCTGGAGCCAGCTCCTCCTACCTTTGTCAAAACTTTCTTCTCAGTTTACTCCATCGACCTGCTGTTGTTTTCTCCTTTGCAGCCATTTCCCACCAAAGTTAACACAGTCAGCTGCCAAGGCCTCTTCCCTCCTTCCGGGCCATGTTTGCGGGGTGAGCTGCTGAACTGTCTGTCTCAATTTCCTTGCCTGCCATGCTCCTCAATTTACTCTGGTTTCTGCCTGCATGACACCACTTACAAAGCCTCCACTCACAAAATCAAATGGAAATATTTAGTCTTCCCTTGCTTGAATTCTCATCCGCATGTGAATTCACTCACCATGTCTTTCTTCTTGTTTACTTTGAGACATAGTCTGGCTAAGTTGCTCAGGCTGGGCTCCAAGTTATGATCTCCCTGTCTCAGCTTCCCAGAATGCTGGGATTAGAGGGATGTGCCTGCCACTCCCCTCTGAGAAGCATTCTCTTTCACGCCATGAGCTCCTGTTTTTCTTCCCTCCTTCCCAGCCACTCCTTTTTCGTCTCTTCCTCTGTAGAAAGCTGCTGCTTCTAAAGGTTCAATCCCTGCTCCTGGCTTTCTTTTGCAACCCCTCCCTAGACTTATTTTTTCCATTGCTGTGCTTCATTTTGGCAGATTTACACATGCATACAACATGCTCCAATCATCTTCCCCATCTCCCCTATAAACTGGCTATTCCCACTTTGCTTCACATTTTTAGGGTGCTTCAATGCGTATTTTTTGCTTGGTTCATTCCCTTCATTACCTGTCCTTACACCCCTTCCCTCTCTCTTGTCTGCTTTCTACTTTCTTGACATCTTCTTTAGATTCCACATATTAGGGAAACTGTGCGATATTTGAGTACAGTATTGGTCCTTCTGATTCTAGCTTATTTCACTCGACATGATAATCTCCAGATTGTTCAGTGGGCTAAATAATACTCCATCAGGCACATGCCACATTTTCTTTATCCATTCATCTGCTGATAGGCCTCTAGGCTGTCCGGTTTCTTGGTTGTTAGTAACTATGTTGCAACAAACATGGGTGTGCTCCAACTAAAATTTCAAGAACTATCCTGAATAAGGGGCTTAGGGTGAACATCTTTGCCTCATTCCTGAGGCTCTTAAATTCAAAGCTCTCCCTTACGTCTGTCTCTCTGGTCTGGAGACCCAGGTGTGTGATTCTGGACACCTCTATCCGAACATCTCACAGATACCCCAAACCCAACAAGGCCACAGCGTAATTTTTGGATCTCCCCTCAAGCCCAGCTCCCCGCTTCAGTGAACCATACGACCCCACCCCACACACACACATACTCTGCTGTGTAATCTGGGACCCAGAAAGCATTCTTGACACCAGCGTGGTCTCCCTAGTCTCATTAACTACCAAAGTCTGAGAGCACCACCCACTCATGTCTTGACTATGTCTGTATTTATGCCACAGTACAGTTGACTTGCACAATCAGAGAACACACTCATCAAGATATCTCTACAATCCATTCGCCTCATAGTGGCCAGCATGATTTTTGTAAGGTACCAATCTAATCACATATTTTGCTTAAACCTATCAACAATTTCCTTTACACTTATAACAACCAAAATACTCCAGGGCATATGGAGAGAGGTGGGAAGGCTTGAAGATGAAGCCTGTAAAGGATACAAAGACAGGCAGAGTGAGATATATACTACGGGTGCAGCTTAGGGTACCTAAGCCAGCTGGTGTGGCAGTCACTAGCTACTTGAGGCTTTTAAATTTAAATCACTATTACTGGCTATATTGTGTTTTACAACAGCCACTCATAGCAGTTTCTATAAATCAATAGATAGCGTAATGTAGGCAATGAATTGGCAGAACACCATGGCCTGCTGTCTCTGCACATGTGGTGATGGCGGCGGGGTAGGTAGGAGAGGAAGGCAAAGATGACCCTGGAGTGTGACCGCTGATGCTGAGGACACGCTTGGGAAACAGGTGGAGAAGCAGGTTTGAGCCAGAAAACAGTGATCAAATAAGATGAATCTGTTATGTTTTCATTTAAATATCTAGCAGACACCAAACAGCAGAAAATAGTTACAAATCCATGTTTACAATTTCAAAAGAAAGTTTAGGATGTCACCGAATGTGGCGGTACATGCCTATAATCCCAGCTCTCAGGAGGTTGAGGCAGGAAGATGGCCAAGAGTTCGAGACTAGAAGCCTGGGCTACATGGTGAATTCAAGGCCAGCCTGAATGACAGCGAGATTCTGTCTTGAAAAAGAAAAGAAAGAAAGAAAAAGCGCAAAAGTTTAGGATGGAGATATAAGTTAGGAAACAAACGACTCTTACCATGGGGTGACAAGCAATTCACAGGCAAGAATAAGTCAGTCTCCCAGGAAGAGCCCTCGGAGCAGGCCGTGACGTGAGGCAGTGCGCATCTAAGCCACAAGGGGGCCCACTTGTGGAGCGCAGAAAGACGCCGGCTTCAGGACCTACCTGCGTGTGGGTCCGCACAGCCCTCACCTGGGTGGGCGGTAAAGCTGGGCTCCTTTCAGCCTGTTTGATATGTCACCCTAGCTCTAGGCCCCCTTCTTCCTCCCTGGATTTGTATCTTTAATCTGAGTCTTGAAGTCTCAGTAAGTGGAGCAGAAAGAAAGCTGAGACTCATTACTCGTGATGTTGAATATTTTTATTTGGTTTACTGCAATTTGAAAAAGTGTTCTGTATGGCATTTTGCCATAAAAGTTTACCTCAAATACCACAATGATAGGCAATAAAAAAGAAAACCCTGAAAGGCTAGGAATGAGGTGGGTGAAAGGGGGGTCGGATGGTGGATACTATATTGCAATTAGATGGGAAGCATACATCTTAGTGTTCTATTAAAACACAGGTGGATGACTACAGTTTCTAACAATTTGTTATGTATTTTATAAAGAGCTAGGAAAAAGAAGCTCAAAACCTCCAAACACAAATGACAAATGTTTAAGATGGAAATGCTAATCACCCTGATTTGACCTATCAAATTATCACACTGTATTCCATAGATATGTACAATAATCATGGGTTGAATTTTTTTCAATAAAAAAAGAAAACCACAATTTAATAAGCATCAGTGAAGCAAAGTTAGGCTTACAATGATCATGTTTATACATGATAATTCTTCCTGATAATTCTTAAGTGTCCATAATTTTCTTAAATGAGATGTTAAAACTACTAGTTCATATGCTTTCATAGACTGTATCCTTTTTTGTTGTTTTGTTTTTTGGTACCGGAGATCAAACTCATGACCTCACCTCAGGTAGGTGCTTGTGCTGCTGAATTATATTCCTGGCCTCCCCTATCCTTTTCTTAATGGAGTCATTATTCTCATACCTAATTTTTTAGTTCCAAATTTTTTCTTCTTCTTACTAGATTTTTTTCTACTTCAAGATAATTCTTTTGTTTTCTGAGACAGAGTCTTGTTATATAGTTCAGGCTGGTCTTAAACTCAGGAGGTAGCCCAGGCTGGCCTCGAACTCCTAGAGAGCTTTCTGCCTCAGTTCTCAAGTACTGGGATATCGGTGTGCACACGTCCAGCAAGAATTCTTTTTACACTCCTAAATTTTACACAATCTTCCAAAGAGGAAAACTTACTTGTAGTTACTGGGTTTGTGGTAGTAACAGGTGCTGCTGTTGTCGTAGGCAATTTTTTTGGCCTAAATTTGTAGTGACCAATAAATCCATCTGCCGTTAAACTTAAGTCTGATAAAAACTGAATAAGAAGTTCATTTCTTTCAGACACAACTGGGCTACAAAACAAAAACATGTTTAAAAATATATACATGCATACATACATTTAAAGTGTAAGTACTATCTCTCTAAAAAATATACATTTTTCTGACTTTCCATTGCTTTCTGACAATAGATTGGTCATTTATTTAAACTTGAAAGTACAAATGCTTGAAAAAAATCTTATCTCCTAAATACTAATGCTAGGGGCTAACCTATAACTTCTTGGCTCAGCTCGGCACCCCTCTCATTCCATCTTTGCAACCCCACCATCCCCTTCACATAGAATAAGGCAACTGAGGTTCTGAGAATTCAAGGGATTTGCCCCGGGCCCTACTGTCACAATGCGCAGCTCAACGTTTGAACCCAGGACCCAGTGACTCCAGAGACAGTGGCAGACATTGGAAGCGATATAACCTCTCCTGTTCTTGCTGGTTTCCTATAAGCATCTTGGGTTCATCTAACTCAGGAATAGTGTGATTTCTTTCAAGCTTGCCAGAGGACCCAGCTGCCGCCTGTGGAGAACTCACTGGACAAAGTGCGCAGACAAATCCCTACTATGTGAGTGCCCAGCCGGAGAGATTACCTCAGGGGATAAGGAGAGCCATGGAGGGTTTAAAGTGACTTCCATTTTATTTTCAATGGACCTTCTAATGCATGCCTGGAACAGATGCATTTCTATGCATAACCTCCATTAGGAAAACAGAGAAGCGATTCCTGTTTCAATGACTACGAACAACACCATGAAGAAGTCTCATTTTAGGAGCTTGCTGGTTGATACTATGGGTTTAGTTAAGATGATAATTGAAGCCCAAAAGCTCCCTTAAATCCTAGGAGAATAACTGTTACACAAGATAATAGTTTTTTAAAAAAATTTTGCCATTGTTATTTGAAAAAAGGTAGAAAATGCTCTTTGGTTAATTCTATTTTAAACCATTATTCAGATGTAAACAAGTTATTGAATGACTAAACTTTCAGTACTGGGAATCAAACTCATGACCTCCTGCTTGCCAGGCAGGCACTTTGCCTCTGAGCTATCTGGGCCCTGACTAAACTTTTTTGAGACATTTTCTCAAGCCAATCTCTTTACAGGCATCAAGGACAAAAATAATGGAGCAACTTCTTTTGGATGGGGGTACTGGGTATTAAACCTGGCATGTTACACTCAGCTACATCTCCAAAAAAATTTTTTTGAGCCAATGCCCATTAAGTGTGGGCACACATTAGTGTGATCTTCCTGCTTCAGCTTCCCAGAGTAATTCACACCCCTGTAATTCACACCCGAATTACAGCGTGTGCCGCCAAGCTGGGCTTGGGGAAACTTTCGTTTACTGTTTTGCTCCTCTTGCGAGATATGTTTAGTAGATAGATTATGTACTTGAACCAACCAACTAGAAAAAGTGCAGGACTTTTTCTGTCTTGAGTAATAAACTTTTAAGCCAAAGCATTAGATAAACTTAAAAGTGAGTTTCATGACCTACATCAACAGAGGTCATTTAAATAATGCTTCTGAGACTTTAAATCTTTAACAGAAATATTATCATTTGCTTTTATTATTTTGAAATCAAATATATACTAAACATGATCCTTAAGTACAACTAAAACACAGTATTGTTGAAATGATAAAATTACAAAAAGTACTTATTATAAGCAACAAAGGAGATCCTCAGACCTAATCAGGTTAGTATGCTACATAAGGTGTTACAAATATAGTGACCATTGGTTTTTCTATGAACTACTCTTGGAGACATTATATCAGAAATCGAATTTTCTCAAGGAAGAATGCTTTAGTAACAGGTTTTTATTACGGTGCCCCTGAGCTCTGTATAAGTGTGCAGAATCACAGTGCTGTAATGTACTGAGGGCGAAGTGTTGCATCTGCAGATTAGCATTATGGATGCCTAGGAAGGAGGAAGGCAGGTGAAATCTCACACCAGTCCTACCCTCAACCCAGCCCCAACCCTAACCCTCCATACACGCTCACCTACTCCACTCTGCTTCGTACATCCCAGAAGCAGATCAAGACGCTGCCTCTGTGGCTCAGAGAAGCTACTGCAGCTGTCTCTGGCCTGTCTTTCCACAGTCTTCCTCTCTTTTGTCACCAGAGTCAACTGACATATCCTCATTTTACCATCCAAATGTCTTTTAATCCATATCCTCTTCATCGCTACCTCCTTAGTTTCTCGCAAACCCACTGCAACAGCCTTTAGACTCCCTGTTCATCTTGTCCAAGGTGGGGGTTCGAGGGTCACAGGGCACGTTAACCTCTGTCACCTCATGCACTTGGAGAGGCTCCATCACAGCAAGACATGGAAACCAACTCTCCCCTTCTGCTCATCAGGTGGCAGGACTGGGCCGAAGGACTCCATGCAGCGCATTCCACTGCTTTTCTTTGTATTTTAAACATGTATCTTTGTATTCAGGGTTCCTTGGGCACACAGCTGACATAGTGTAAATTCAGTGAGCATAAATGAATCCCATGTCTCGCAAACTGCATTTCAACCAGACACGAGTATGATGAGGTGATGTCCCATGTTCCCAATGTTCCTCCTGTTTATTTTTTCTTTTCTCTTTTTTTTGAGAAAAGGTCTTGCTATGTATTCTATGCTGGCCTTGAACTCACTCTGCAGCTTCAGCCTTGAGGCAGGCTCCCTGCCTCAGCGCCCCAGTGCTGGGATTACAGATACATCCCTGTGCGCTGGTCTCCCTATTCATATTTTTAATGGAGAATTCTCCTCACATAGATCTCCTTGTTATCTTCACTGTCCTACTTCTACCCAAGAAGTATTTTAACTATGGAAAAATATTCCTCGGGACAAAAGTGTTAGGTGGAGGGCTGACAGTACAGCTCCTCCGGCCCAGCTCCTCGGGCAGGACTGCTCTCAGTGGTGGCCTCCATCACCTGCCCACTGCACTCAGGGTAAGTGCTGGCCTGCACTGTGCACTTCTCCTCGCCTTATTTTTTCCCTCTTGGTTTATCCTGTTTCCAGCATCATGGATTAATAGGTTATACAGGCTTGCACATTTTTAAGCTCCACATAAATGAAAGGGTATGGTATGTATTTTTTGGCTACTGTTTATTTCACCCCATCTTGTAAGGGAGATTCACCTGTTTTCATTGCTAGGTAGGGTGTACTGTAGTGGGCTGCTCTCCATTAGAAACGATATTGCTGAGGACATTCTTGGATGTGCCCTGTGGTGCACAGGTGCAAAACTGTATTTAATCTGGAAACCAGAGGGCAGGGCATATGCTGTACGTGCGGTTACTACCCTTGGTCTCCAGGTTAGCAGGGAATGCCAAACCGATTTCCAAAGGTTGTACCAATTTATACTCTTTTCACAGGTATATTCACTGTGCCACTTTCTTTTTTTGGAAATGCCTTTTCTGTCTTTTGCCCATTTTTCCTAGCACATTGTCTTTTCTTTACTTATTTTTAGAATTCTTTCAGTATATTTCAGGACTTCTGTCAAACACTTACAAAAACGTGTTTCTCTTTGTGCCTTACCTTTTCCCTCTCTTTAAAATACTTTTGGATGAACAGAAATTCTCATTTAAATTTCCAATCCAGTTATTTTTTATTTTTGTGTGAATACAGATTCAAATATAACTGTAGTGTAGTCTAGCACTCCAGACTTTGACAATAAAACAACAGTGTAAAACCTTCCAGAAAATAAGTGTAACTGGAAAATTTGGTAAAAAATCATGTTAGAGTCATGAAAATCTGAATCACCATATATAGGTACTACTTACGCAGGTGGGCTATCACCACAATATTTTCCAATTCTCTGAGCATCATTGACTTCTCCACCATTAAACACAGCCACGAAATCATATCGACAATAGTTATCTCGTTCAACATCAAACTTCTCAAATTTTAATTCTATAAGCTTTAGAGAAAGCACAACACAGAAGTGTCAAAATAGCATTGCTGAACAACCTCCAATGGAATTTTTCTGAGATTTGTAGCATACCATAATTTTTTCTTCATTAAAAAAGTTTATTCTCTTTAAATGATGTTTTTCTTATTGCCATGTTTCTTGGTTATTCTTTTTGCTTTCATTTTTAATCATTATAAAAGAATTACATAATGGTTTAAGTTATTTTAGAAATGTAAGTCTTCCATTGTTAAATAAATGATTACATTTTTCTTCTTAAAAATAAAAATTAGTTTTGGGATTATGATAAAAATCTATACATAAGCGTATGTGTGAACATGTGTTCACATCACTGCCCTATGTGGTATGTTGATCTGAATAATTATCTATTTTAAAAATAAATATATGGCAGTATTCATACAAGCTCTATGAAAGATCAATTTTGAAAAGTATCTTTAAAAAAAGTCACAATGCTCACCTTAATATTTGTATTAAATATTATAGTTTGTAATAATAATGCTTTACAAAGTTAGATTTAAAAGTTCACAGAATAAGTTGTATTTATTCCTTTGCTGAGTTCAGTCCTACAATTCATATCTGAAAATGGTTCCCAGAAAGGGCAAAAATTCATAGAACCATGAACTATTAAATAGTAGAAAACTACAACTTCTCTCTTGATTGTTTTAGAATAATGAATAAAGTTTCTGTGTGGAATTTATACAACACCTTTTCTTAACCACTAAAGCATCTTAAAGGAGACCAGCTTTCACACTGGACACTTTCGCTGGCTTTGTTGGAGGGAAGAACACTCACGGTCTTTGATTCGGTTATTGGGAGGACTGTGACGGGCTGAGTTTGCTATGTGAGAAAATGGGACCTTGAAACGTACGTGTATCTGAGGATTTTTATCTGCCCACAATTATTCATTACCACTTACAACAGGGTAAATAATCTTATGTGCCATTTGCCTACCATTTGTTTTGAAAGTTGTCAATACATAATAGGACATTAAATTCATTTGATTTTGCAAGTCAAGTAATGCAAAAGGCAATTTTTACTGGGTCTTCTTATGAAGAAATACCTGTGCCCGGCAGGACCTTCCTTTCTCTATAGCCTTACTTCTTGCTTGAACACCACAGCCAGAGGCCTCTAAGAGGTGGGCCCCCCTCTCTGGGAACTTCACACAATCACGCCTTCTTCATGGTTTCAGGGAGCCTCACCTGGTTTTTGGGGGCTATGATGTGCCATATACAAGTGACTCCTACAGGATAATCCCGGTCTGGCCAGTTGGGGGTTTTAAAAGAGCCTGAAGGTCTTTCGAGGCGTCCTCCACAATACTGGTCCCCTGAAGTCATTAAATATCGGAAAATATTCGACAAGTTTATATCCAAACATACGTTACAGGAACACAACCACATAGAGGTTAGGAATGTGAAATATTGGGGGACAGAACAGTAAGTCAAGGCAACAGTTACATTTTCTCTTAAAGAAAATAACATAGATAATCTGCTACATGTGCAGGCGTGTGCGTGCACACCCACACCCACACACTGATCTTTATAATTTCTAGCATATCACATCAGCACAAGACAGGAAGAGAAGTACAGTCCAAGCCTCAGGTTCTGTTTTTCTTTTCTTTTCTGGGAGGGGAAAGCAAAGACAGAACATGTGCTCAGAAAGCTTGCAGCTCAACAAATCTTATAGATTCCAAAAATTCTCAAGGTACTTATGAAATGTCCTTGGACAAAATTTGAATTAGTATAGACAACATGAATTACCAGAAAACTTTACATGATACATGCATCTTTAGTAACTGTTAGGTATAATTTGTTTGATAAAAGTAATGCTTATAAACTTTCAGCAATACAGAAAATATAAAGGACAAAGTAGAAAATCATCCCAAAACTAAAACTAACAGCAACTTAGTTGAAAAATATTATTTCAGATATTGAATATATGTACTAGTATGTAATGCACTGTACTAACGCACTGAAAAATAATTTTAGAAAGTTAGATTACTACAATGCCTTAAATTTAGTTTCACTTGAGCTTAATAAAAAATGAGTTGCAACTAAAGGAATTAATATACCTTACTGAAACATTTCTTTGACACAGACAATCATTCTTAAAACAAATATCTAAATTTAAGAAAATGTATTCTTTTTTTTTTGTCTTTTTCCTTTTTATTGGTACTGGGGATCGAACTCACGACTGCCTGCTTGCAAGGCAGGCGCTTATGCCGCTGAGCTAAATCCCCAGCCCCCAAGAAAATGTATTCTTAATCAAGTTTGGAACAATTTCTGGAACTCTTAACAGAAAAATTCAAGCATATACAAAGTGAATAGAGTAATATGATTCCCCATGTACTTATCACCAAGTTTCAACAAATATCATTATTCTACTATTCTATCTATTGCTATCAACCAGCTGCTCATTTTTTTTATTTTATAGATTTGGGGGAAATGAACTCATATATTTTGAAACACACAAACCTTAGCTATACATGTTTGAAAAATGTATAAGCCAACCTGTGTAAGCCATATACCTATGTTACTACAGAATCCATCTCCCACAAAATGTGTGTACCCTTTCTCCAGTTGATGTTTCCTCATTCTACTTTTCCAAAAATATTCACTTTGATTTCATGCTAGAACTCCATATAAGTGGAACTGCACAGAGGTGCTCTTCTGAGTCTGGCTTCTCTCATGTGTCCTAATTAATGTCTAAGACATTCGTATGACTGTTTATCTTTGTGGTTTGCTCCTTTCCACAGCTGTACAGTATCCCACTGCATGGAAACAGTACGATGCGCTTACTCATTCTCCTGCTGATGCTTACTTGAGTTCTTTCCAGTTGAGGTTATCATGAATGAGACTGCTACGTACTTTTGTGCAAATCTTTCTGTGGATATGAGTGTTCATTTTTTGCATAACTACCCAGGAGCACAATCCAGAGCAGATATAGACATTAACTTTACACAAAAACCGCCCAAACCCTACCGCAACTATTCGTATCATTTTTCTAGCACTCAAGGTTTGAGCACTTTGATTGCTTCCCACACTCGCCACCACAGGGGCTGGCAGGGCTTTAGACAGCTTCGTGGGTAAGCAATGGAATCTTACTATGGTTTTAATTTGCATTTCCCTGATGACTAATAAGATTAAATGATTTTTATGTACTTACTGGCCATTCATATTTTCTTTTGAGAAATGAAAACATCTAAGTGTTTTACCCATTTTTATATTTATTGAGACCTTTTTATTTTTGTTATTGTTGAGTTGTATGAGTTCTTTAAATATTCTGGATACAAATCCTCATCATTTTTAGAGTATTTTCTCTTATTCTTTAAATTGCCTATTCATGTTTGTAAGAGTGTCTTTTTTATAAACATCAGTTTTATTTTTATTTACTTATCTATTTTTTTGGTACCAGGATTCACGCTTGTGACCTTGTACTTGCCAGGCAGGTGCTGTACCACTGAGCTATCCCCTTAGGCCCTATAAACATTAGCTTAATTGACATTTGCATAGCATGTATTTTTTTATCCTCTACTTTCAATTATTTGGTCTTTGTATTTCAAGTGGTTTCTTGTAGAAAACATATAGCTGAGTCTTGTTTTTTAACTCATTCTAACCATGACTGTCTTCTAACTGGAGTATTTAATCCTCTGTTGATCAGTATGTTTGGATGTGGTGTGCCATTTACTAGGTTTCTTTTTGTCTCACCTTTCTTTGATTCCATCTGCTCTTCCTTCCAGCATTCTTTGAGCTAGTTGCATACTTTCAGTGTTCCATTTTAACCTTTTGCTTTCGTTGCTATCTCTTGCATTTTTAATGGGTACTCTAGAGAACACAGTATGTATATTTAACCTATCACACACTACTCAGTTACTATTGTACTCTATGCCTTGTGTGGTATATGTGTATACGTGTGACAGTACAGTTACATTTACCTTCCATCTCTTGCTTGCTAAACATATATATTATATATTCCATATACAGTAAGAATATTTTCAAACATGTAAGTGTGAAGGAAATAATACGTATTCTTCTCCAGTAACCATTTTCAATGATTTTCATTCCTTGCATTATCCTCCTGGTACCCTTGGAATTAGTTCCCTCAACGTAAAGAACTTCAACATTTCTTGTGGTACACGTATACAAATCTCTTTCAGATATTTATAGTGTTTGTAATATATAATGCTTTCACTTCCTTATCATTTTTGGCCACTGTCAATAGGATACAGTTTTATTCCAGGGCTTGAAGAATGCCATAACATTATCCTTTGTCCTCCTTTGTTTCTGGTTTAAAGAAAACATCATTTACATTCCTGTTCTGTGTATAGCTTGGCTTTATCTGCTTGACTTCAAGATTTTATTTTTATCTTTGGATTTCTGTACTTTACGATGTGATGAGGCTATGGCTTCACTTTTTTATTTATCTTGTTTAGAATTGTTGAGCTCCTGGCTTCTATAAACCGATGTTCTTCACCAAGTCTGAATAAAGTCAAGTCATTATTTCCTTATATTTTAGTGCTGTTACTTATTGTGGGACAAAAATCACAGGTGTATTAGGCCATCTGATGTTGTCTCATTGGTCTCTGAACCTCTTTTTCTTCAACGCTTTTCCTCCTGCTTCTTCAGATTAGATCGTTTCTCTTTAAGTTCACTAACTCTTTTTCTGTCCTCTCTCACTGGCAGACTCACCAGGTAAAATTTTCAATGCCAGATTTCCTATTGCTGGTTCTAAAACCTTTCTGTTCTGCCTTATTTTGTTTTGAGACACAGTCTTACTATGTAATCCAGGCTGGCCTTGAACTCAGTCTTTCTGCCTTGGCATCCCGAGAACCGGGTCACAAGTGTGTGCAATCCTGCCCCACCTAACTCATTTTTTAAAAATAATTTCAGCTTCTCATCTCATCATTTACTCCACATATATTGCCCTGAAACAGAATTGTAACTGCTGCTTTAAGGTATTTATAAGCTAACTACAACATTGTGAGTCTTTTCAGTGACCACTTTTCTCTTGAATATGGGACATACTTTTCCTGTTTCGTTACATGAGTAGATACTGGACATTATCATTGATACATGCTAGCTTCTGTCGAGTTCCTATGAAAAATGGTTTTTGATCTAGCATTCAACTTGGCTAGACTAAAACTCAAAGTCTGTCTCCGGGGCAGTGGACAGCAGCTATAACCTCTGGTTCTTCCATTCTCCAGCTCCTGGATTTATGCTAGGCCAACTGGGTTCTCCCCTACATTCTAGAGTTGGATAGAATTTACATGTATACTCCGTACTTTAGCTCTTCTGCAGCTCCATGCTGGGCTTTTCTTCCCAACATTAGAGCTGCTCTGTCAGTGCTAAATCCTGTCTTCTGACATCTCAGGCCAGTGATGCTGCATTACAGCCCAATCCCAGGGCAGATTAGGGAGTTTTCTCTGGTGAAAGGACAAAAACTAACAAATCTTGCTTGATGCAATTTGTTTTTTAAGGTTATTTATCCTAAGGAGCTCACATGTACTAGCATGAAAATATCCTGAGACAGCGTTAAGTAAAAAGAAAAAGTTGTAAAATAATATTAATATATGACTGCACTTACATTTTAAAAGATACTGTAAAAATACATAAATATCAATAAGCACATGAATAGATGTAGAAACTATTGGCCATAGCTATTTCTGAAGAGGAGACTACAGGCAGTAAAATGCAAACTTCATTTTTTAATCCATGAATTTCTATAATTGAATTTTTATAAGAATGTGTAAGGATTTTTTAAAAGATTGATTTTTAAACAGTCTCTTGGTTTAGTACTATTCCTTAACTCTCTGTTTCAGAAGAAATGCTCTTAAGTTTTACATTACAGGAGTAAACACAGATAAAGTGCCAAGAACTGTGTCTGACACACAGTAGCGTTCAACTGGCACAAGCTGTCATTACCACTGTTATATGGAAATGGTACCTCTTTCATTTGGTTCAGAGGCAGAGAACATGGCCATGAAGCCATTTCCTGCAGTATTGGCGTCAGAAATCATCTTCACCATCATCTTGTTGCCACTGGACACCAGGGCTCCAGGTCGGAATGTGCCACAGAAGCGCCCAATGCGCTGGCCATTGGTGTGGCCATTGTACACGTCCACAAAGTCATAGCGGCACAAATTGTCACTCTCCAGGTCTATGAATCGGAAGTTAAGGACGACTACTTTCCCCTCTGGAACCTGCAAAATAAAAAAGGGCCAAATAGAAAACTGTCATGAAGAAAACATCTGAGGTTTTTACAACTAGCCAAGCACTAAAATAATCACATAAAAAAATACAAGAGGTTAAGTGTACAGCTGAGGCTAAGGCTCTGGGTTTGATCGCCAGCACCACAAGGAAAGGAAGAGGGAGGCAGAAAACAAAAGAATGTTTTCCTTTCTCAAATTTGAACTATGCCAAGGGAAGTTTTCCAGCATATGGCATTCCTAATAAAATACAAGTAATCTCTTTTAACAAACTCTACAATTCTCTAAGGTATACAATCTAATTAACAAGTTTATTTTCATCAAGTTGCAAAATAGTGGGATTAGTTTTATCAAGGGATAAATCATTGCTTACAAAGACTCTCAGTCCTTACTGGACCACAGTACATAGTTTCATGTTCTACAACACCACGACACCCAGACATACGCTTGGCAACAAGACATTTGAAATGTCATTCCCTCTCACAAATAATAGAAAAGGATAACCTCAATACATAGAATGTTCCCATGAAATTCAAAATTAAAGGCTTATCTGGCAGTTGAATAGTTAATTTATAGATAATTAACTTGAGTCTTGAAAAATCTGGATCAAAATATGTATTTATTAAGTCAACCAAGTAATTTTTGTTACAATCATGTTTTCTTTAAGTCACTGAGGTTTTTAATTTTTGGTTTGTTTTCAGGTGAAAATTTATATACCAGGCAATTTTGAAATATATTGCACTAGTGATTAAAAAGATAATCTTACACTTTATCATTAAGATTTTCTCCACTATATTTTTCCCTGTATAATTTCTTGTTCTCTTCCTCTCTTTCAGCACTATGGATTGAACCCTTGGACCTTCACACTGAGCTATATCCCAGTTCTTAATTTTTTTTTTTGAGACAGGTTCTCACTGTCATTAAATTGCTCAGACTGGGATGGAACTTGTGGTCCTCTTGCTTCAGCCTTGTAGAGTACTGGAATTATAGGCATGCACCACCTGTCCAGTTCCCCATATAAAATTCGTAAGATGCTTCCTTTGTTTCTGAGTAAGCAGGGGAAAATGGCTACAAATGCATTTGGTAGGGTTCTCAGGTTAAATGTCCCACTCTTTCTCTGTTCATATCACTTTTTACTTTCTTCAAGTTGCTTGGTCATGAAGTCTTGATCGTATTTGTTTTACCTTTTCAACTGGACAGGTTGCTACTGAATAGTGTAAGGATTTCATTCAATAAACATTTATGGTTAAAAAATATGCACATACAAAATTGATAGGTTGATACTCATCATAATTAACTACTGCATCTTAGACTTAAGGGTCAGGTGACACTTTAACATTAATACAGCTTCTTATGTAAATTTAGGCCATGAATTCTTTTCCCTACAATAAAATCTGTTTTTGTGTCAAACACACACACACACCCTCCTGGCAGTAACTATAATGAAACAGCCCCAAGAAGGGGATGTCTTGGCTTTGTCACAGTTCCATTCTAATTTCTAAAAATATACCTTTATGGTATATAAAGATGCTCCCAAGTCACAGCCTAGGGAGCTGACAACAGAGAAAAACAGTGTCAGTTTACACACTCTCGCTGAGACTTCTGTTGTTTCTGTTGTCATTATGCTTGAAACCTCTTATCCCATAATCAAAATGTTATCAAAATAGGATGTAACATCTAAAATCTTTTTTTTTCTTTTTTGGTACTGGGGATCAAACTCATGACTGACTTCATACTTGCCAGGCAGGTGCTTATGTCACTGAGCTAAATTCCCAGCCTTTACATCTAACTTGCTTTACTCTTACATGAAAAATGACTATTTGTGCAATATGCACAAATTCACACAAATGAGTACTTTAAGTGCACAAAGAGTAATTCAAAGCCATGAGACATAGTGAAATTCCTCATCCAGAGTGAACAAGGGTAAAAACACCAAGAGGTCAAAGGACAGAGTCTGGGGACACATCAGTGTCATCGAGTCTGGGAGATGAGGTCAAACTGCAACAGAGACTGAAGAAGCAGAAGCCACAGAGGCCAGCGAAGGACCTAGGATGAGGACAAGCAGATCGAGTGCTGCTGCTGGGAGGAGGGAGATGAAGACCCAGAAAGACCACTGGGCTCAGCAATACAGAGAAGACAAACTGTCTGTTTTGGTGGCACAGTAGGGCCAAGTCTGATAAAAGAAGATGGAGAGAAAATAAAGTGTGAAAAACTGGTGAAAATGAATACAAACAAGACTTCCAAGGTTTTGCTGCAGAGATGAAGGAAATATGAGGGCAGCCAGAAGGCAAGGTGGGGTCATGTAGGGTTTTCCTAAGAGGCTGTGTGTACTAAGGTGCGTGTGCACACTGCCGGGAGGGAGTCTGTGGGGAGGACAGAGCTGATGGAAGGACAGAGGGACAAAGGCAGGACAGGGAGCTGAGCTAAGGCACAGATGGAGGGGGAGCTGCCTGTGGTAGAGGAAGGATGCTTCTGCCCGGGAAGGCCCGCAGAGGACGAAGGCAGATGGAGGTAGGTCAGGGGATGAGAGCATATGGACCTGTTCTGTTCTGGTTGCTTTTGCTTTGTTGGTGAAATAGAAAACAAGGTCATCAGCAGTGAGTAGAGCGCAGAGGAGCTACTGGGAGTTTAGGAACAAAGGACAAGATGTGTAAATGGATTAGAAAAACTCCCAGGAGCGCTGAGGGCCACCTGAAGTAAACGAACTGACACTGATGGTGGCCTTTTTCTTGTTAGCAGGGGGCCCCACTCCTCTTACCTCTGCTGAGCTGCATGGGCGCTGGGAGGTGAGAGGCCCCATGCGAGGAAGAAGGAGAGATGACTGAGAGACATAAGAACGTAGACAAGGGACTGGCCCTAAGGTGGGATGCGGATTCTAAACCATCATGGACAGGAAATCAGGACACAGTGGGGTGAAGGCAGTAAACCTGGAACATGAGAGAGGCTGAAATAGAACAGCAGTGGAAGTGAGCGGCTGAGCGACAAGAGCGCATAAGTTCATTGGAGCAGAAGAGGTTCAAGACCTCAGCGGTTCCCCACGCAGACACTGAAATCACAGAGGATCCTGATGAGGAAGAGTGGCTAAGGCAGAAACCGTGAAATAGGAGCTAGAATGTGCAAGACTAGCTGGGCGTGATAGTGCACGCCTATAATCCCTGCACTCCGGAGGCTGAGGCAGGAGGATCCTTGAAAATTTGACACCAGCCTGGGCTAAAAAGTGAGCTCCAGGCCAGCCTGAGCTGCAGAGAAAGATCCTGTCTCAAAAAGACATAAATAAATAAATAAACAAATTGTGCAAGCCTGAGGACTCCAGGAATCCTGAACAGGGAGAGGCACCGCCTGACAAAACTTCCTTTCCTTGGCCAGCTCTGTTTTGATATTGCTTAGAAATTTTTCATTGATGCTTCCCTGAAGCTGGTGTTGAAATCTGACTTCTACAGGCCTTAATTCCAATGGGATAAATTATTCCCTCAAACTCTTTACCAGATCACACCACAGTGAAAGTTGGGATTTCTCTGGGAATGAGACAAAGTAGATGATTGGCAACAGAAACCACTGTAGGTTACATCACTTCCATTTGAATACATGTTCACTGGAACAACCCCGACTAACATTCTTTGGGAATAGTGCAGAGGTGACTGGCACTAGTGAGGATCTGCAGCAACCAAAGACTGAGGTCACCTTGAATGGAGAAATTCAAATGAGATGCACGCTGCTGTGAGCCCTTTGCGTGAAACATGTTTTTCATTTGTGCATAAGCAGTCCACTCCAGACACACTGCAGTCCTGTGATGCACACCCATAAGCGCTCCGACAGCCATCTGAAGGACTTCAGAGCATATGACCCTTCCACTTGAGGAATCTGTAATTCCCTTGACTTTTCTTTGCTAAGAATATTTTTTATCTCATTTATTGTTTGTCTTTTGAGATAGGGTCTTGCTATGAAGTTCAGCCTAACCTCAAACTCCCTGCAATCATCCTCCTGGCTCGGCTTCCCCAGTGCTGGAATTATAGATGGGTCATGAATCTCAGCTGGAAGTCTTAAGTCTGAACTGACAGTGTACCTCAGTCACAATTCCAAACTGTTGTTAAACAGGTAAGTTATTAAGTAAGGAATATCTCTGTAATCTCCATGTAAAATACATAGCTCTGTCTTTGTGTCCTATTTTACTTTTTTGGTATCAGGAATTGAACTCAAGACCTTTGTCTTGCCAAGCAGGCTCTTGTGCCACAGAGCTGTATCCCTGACACCTCTGTCTTATTTTAAAAGTTAATGAACACAGAATAATCTCTACACATCACTGCACAAGCTAAGCATCCCCGAGCTTTTTGCTGAGGAAAGAGAAGGGAAAATGAAAATACACAGGGCCTCACTGGCTGTTCCTTTTAACCTGGAACATGTGCTCATTTTTCACTAGTGCTTAGGGTCTCAGTTTCAAGGTCACCCCTTCCTGGAGCCATTCCCATAAGCCCAACACCTCAACCCAATCGACAGCTTGTCCTACAGGTTGAGAACAGAGTGGTTCAGCTTACTTACTTAACTGTAAAAAGAAATGAGGGGTGGGAATGGGGCGGCAAAGCTCTCCCCAGCTACTGTCTTTGCCTCAGTGCATGGTCTAAAGTAGAGGGTCAACATCAAAAATATTTTTAAATGAATGAATCTACTGGGTACTAACATAAGCACAGCTTCTTTGCACAAATCATAGATAAGGTTATACACTGGTCCCACCTCTTTCATTCTAGTTTTCTTACTCTGCCCGGCAGGAAAGCACTCTCTTTTCTAAGTCATCTCTTACAAAAAGAAAATACATGTAATTTTGGGAACTTTATATTTCAAATCTCCTGGCAATGCTAGTACTTAATATAGAAACTCAGTAAAGGTGTTTTTGTTTGTTTGGTTTTTTTGGGGGGTGGTAATTAGATGAAGCTTCTAGTTTTGTGAGATTATATTGACCAGGGAATTCATTATCTGTCGCTAGGAAAACAATTCCATGT